TGTATTGGAAAGTTACAAACTTTCAGTAGCAACCCTACGAGTGTTCAACATGTCAAGGAAAGTGTTGTTCCTTTTATTTTATAAAAACTTATTCCTCTTGCTTCTACTTACTAGTCAAGATATTTCAACCATAGTTGCCTTACGAATGACTTAGGTCTTCTCCAACTGGTATACCATGAGAGTTCCTATGGATTCATGGTTACCCATACATTACCACAAGAGCCCCTCAGGATCGTGGTTAAACAAACACTGCCACGAAATCCCCTCGGGATCGCGGTTAACAAACATTTCCATGAGAGCCCTCATGATCATGGTTAATCAAATATGTCCACGAGAGCCCCTCAAGATCGTGGTTAATAAGCACTGCCATGAGAGCCCCTCCGGATCATGGTTTCTCAATCACAACATGGTTGGACGTTCTTGTCCATGATTCACACAAAATCCCAACCACCAAGGTAACGTAAGTTTCAACAACATGTGGCTATCCTATATTGGTTCTGTAACTTTGTAAGGTAAATAGGGTAGAACAAGTTCAAGGGTGCAACTTGCCTGATAATCGTTGATGTTCCTCACATAACAAATCTTGGTAATTGATGAAGTTCTTCACGCACACAATCTTGGTAAAGCTACCCATAGCTCTTCATACAATCAATCGTAAGTAATGAGCAATCATAAACAACAATACAATACAAACAAACATACAACAAGTGTTGTGCATGGTGTTAGTGTCACTATGCTTTGAGATCATGTGCGATGTGTTAACCCATAAGAGTTTGGGAAATAATGTAGTGATTGTTAATTGGAATAAAGGGTCCGCATGCGACTTTCAATTCATACGAGTCCATCACATAAGGAGTATGTGATGTCAAGTTGTGGCCGCCAGATTATGCAAAAGGAATCTTGCAACTGGAGTAGACCCGGTCATGGACAACCCAGCCCGAACCCAAAGCCCGACATTCGGGCCGGGCTCGGGCTCCATTTTCTGACCCGAAGCCCGAATAAAGCCCGAAATATGTATAAAAACATATTTTATTCAAAATATAGGTATAATAAATTAATATAATATCCCGAAAATGATTAATTTAATTAAAATATGTCACTGTTCATGTACTTCGGGCTGGGCCGGGCCGGGCTCGGGCTTGGCATTTTATCTTCGGGCTTTGTCAAGCCCGGCCCAAAGCCGACCCGGCCCGACGTTTACCCAGGTTTAAACTGGAGTCATGGTCTATGAATCTTGGATAGCCAAGTTCATGTTCAAGTTTGACTAGCAATTCAAACTTGTTGACCTTCCATGGACTTGAATACACACACGCTTGGCTAGGTTTCATTTCAGTTTCACTAGTTGATCTTGACTTAAGTTGGGTTTTATGTTTGGATTAGTTTGAACTCTTCAACTTCATATTTGAATTGGTTTCAAATAATTTGAATTAGGTTTAACTAATTGGATAATTTCATCTAGGTTCATTAAATTGGTTAACTTATAATTCAATTTGAATTTGAATTAGGGTTCACCTTATTTGAATTCAAATTGAAGCCAGTTCAATTTAAGTGTAAAATGTTGAAGCCAGTTCAAGTTCAAAATATTTCATAAATTTGGATTAATTAAATGACTTCCAAAATTTAATTTAGGGTTTAAACCAAATTCATATTATATTTATTAGTCTCCCGAAAGTCAAATACAAATCCAATATGACTACTAAAGTTTATTTATTTAAATTAAGGATAAACTAAAGTCAAGTTTAAATCCAAAGTCATTTATTAAGTGCAATTAGTTTCCAAATTTTACTTAAGTTTGAATTAAATTCGATTTTAGATTAATGTCCTAAAAACATGGTACTAGGTTTAATTTAAATTACTAATTTATAATGCAAAATTTTATTCAAATTAAACCTATGGTTTCAAGGTTATAACCAATTTGAGTTTTAATTAAATTCAAACTAAAATTTCTAAAGTCAAATAATAATCCAAGATGGTTACTAAGTTAATATTAATTTTAGGAATTAGTTGCAAAATAATTAAACATTTTTATTTCAAGATTAAACTAGATTAGGGTTTAAATATCGTTTAAATTATAGCTAATGTTTAAACTATATTCTAATTAAAATTTTAAATTATTTAAAATTTGAACTACAATATCGAAGTTGAAACTATATTTCACCAGATTCATTTTGCGAAAAAATCAATTAGATTTGACTTCTAGAATGCAAGCTATGTCCATTTTAACTTCAAATTCATTCTGTTTGAATTCAAATTTTAAAGTATTCAAATTCCAAAGACGGAATGATCAGAACCGGATCCGCGCTATCATTGTTGCCCCTCTACTATAGATGCAATGCAACCACTGGGAGAGGAAGAAGCACCGACTGCATGCCGAAGACGGTCGCGCGTGTGTCGGTGCCAAACGTCGCCGCTTCTACCATGGATGGCCACGACGAGCCTCATCGCCGCCCATGGGGATCAACCCCCTGAAGGACCGGTCCAAGGCCAAAACTCGATTGGTGCCAAGACAACAATGGGCCGGCGACGCAGCTGGTCCTCCCGACACCCATCTCATGGCAAGACGATGCGCGGGAGCAGTGCTGCCTCCGCCCGCTTGCAACCTACTCCACCTCTTCCACTCTTCTCTCCATCATCTCTGTCGCCTCCACGGGCAGAGAGAGAGAGAGAGAGGGAGAGAGAGAGAGGATTGAGGGGATAAGGGGAAGGAGTGATGGAGACGTTCGTCGCGGGTTGGTTTATGGCAAATGACCCCCCCCCCTCCCCCC